ACACATGTTACGAGTGAGCGAGCTGCCTGTGGCAAGATGGCCGCCAGGTGCGGACGTGGACCCCCATTTGCCAGCAGCAGACGAGACTTCTAGCATTTATTATGGATATCTACGCTTAGTACCATAGGCGGGTTAGTACTTGGCAGTGGGAGAGATGTGTGATATTTGACTCTGGTTTAAAATCTGCTGACCTCGTGTGGTCGAGAGGAGAACTGCATCCGTTCTCAGCATGAACACAAGATGCCCAAAGTACTACTGAGAAAACATTTATTTCCCCATTTGATTAATAACATGTTTTCTGAAACATCGTTTGACAGCCCTAATTACATGACAACAATAAAAATAAATAAAGGATTTTAAATAGCCTACAGAAATGTCGGCCCTCTGGAATATATATATTTATATATATATATATATATATATATATATATATATATATATATATATATATATATTAGTTTCATCTTTTATTTTGAATTACTGAAATACGTGAACTTTTGCACGATATTCAATTTTTTTTTAGTTTCAACTGTATTTACACACTGCATATGCATAAGCCAAGGGGCTTTATGCACAGCTGCACTACTTCCTAAACTTAAGCCAGCTCCTTGTTTCCTGTCTGCCATTATTGGCCAAATTGATTAATGCAGGTGTACCTGACCTCAGTAGTCACGGCAACAATAATCAGACACACCTGAATTAATCAATTTGGCCAATAATGGCAGACAGGAAACAAGGAGCTGGCTTATAGGCTATAATGTGCTCGTACTCTGAAGATTGGGTACGTGAGTGAATAGTTTCACTGAGTGAGCTTCAAGCTCCACTTTTAGTGTCCAAGCAATTGTAATTGAAATTGAAAATTGTAATTGTCCAAACTGTAATTGATATCCAAAGAAATATTGCAGCTTTAACGTAATGAATATCTCAGACAGAGCCTGTGTTTTTCCGCATATGAACCACAAGGTGGCAGTAGCTTCAAACTAAGTGTGTGTGTGTGTGTGAGTTGCTCTTGAATGCCCTTTTTCTAACGGTAAGATGTTGGGCTGTCCCAGACGAAAGATGAGCAGTCGTGGAGGTTTCTGATGGCCGTTGTCTCAGTCCTGAGAAGATCCTTTTCAGAAAGTGTGTTTGCTGTTATACGTCCTACATCTACTGACAACCCAACGAAAATGCAGCATGAAATGGCGTATTGATCAACTCGACATTGCACTAAAAGCAGAGGTGGGCAGAGTTATTAACTTACTTGAGTAAAAGTACGGATACCCCTTGCTATATTTTACTATATTTTATATCTACTTTTAGAAGTAGTAACTCATACTCATGGTTATGGATAGAATAGAAATGTAGTGGAGTAAAGAGTACAATATTTCCCTATACTAAATTTAAAAAAACGTATACTAAATATACTCGTAAATTAATGAGTACTCCCCAAAAATGATACTCGATACCTCAAAATTGTCCTTAACCCTCTGGGCTTCTTCGTAAATGGGTTACACTTATCTTCCTCCCGGTCAAAAACGGACGAAGCCTTAAAATTTAACTTTTCTTCTTCCCAGGATAACCATTCAAATATATTTTTGTTCTATAATATTTTCTGATTATTATTTAGAATTTTTTGAATTTTTTATGATACTTTGCATTAATTATATAATTTTTATGAGCTATTTTTTCCATTAGAATTAATATACATATTTTTATTTTATATATTTTTTTATTTTTTTCCAATAAATACAACATTTCACATCAAAATAGAGTGTCAGCTAATAAAAAAAAATAATTCAAGTAGAAGAGCGCCACCTAGTGGGTTTAAAAAATAGTTACATGTGTGCAATGTCCTGTACAGCCTGTAGGCTGCCTATAGCTTCCTATTCAAATACATTGAAAGGCTTTTTGATTCTTTTTGTTGGTTTAGACATGATTTCTCATGTCTGTGTGCGTGTGTGTGTGAGTGCACATTTGAGCAAGATTTTTTTCTCATTTATTTATTTTATTTTTCATATTCTACAAATTCAGTGCAGTCTTGCCAGTTTATCTGTGTGTGTGTGTATGTGTGTGCGTGTGTGTGTGTGTGTGTGTGGGGGGGGGGTCTTATTTGCACTCTTGATGTTCTAGAGTGTCACCCCTTCATTGCTGTACACTTTTTTTTCTGCACAGTTGCTGATCTGTAGCTTGTACCACCAAAAGTTTCTCTGAGTTTTCCTATTTTTTCGTATTTCCCATTCATTTCCTATGTCGGTAATTTTTGACCGGGAGGAAGCTAAGTGTGACTTTTTTTTTTTACGACCCTTTAACAAATCAGAATCATCTCCTTGATTTTTTTGTGTGTTCATATAGGTAATACAACAAAAGTCACCAAGTTTCAGCCCGATCAGATCAAGCAAAAAAATTAAACATTTCAAAACGTAACAGTTTTCGGTCATTTTTGACCGAAGAAGCCCAGAGGGTTAAGTACTGTACTCAAGTACTGTCCGGCTCTGACTAAAACTTAAAATTACTTTCCTCAAGCTCCACTTACAAAACTGGCATGCCAAGTTGGCCTCTTTTCTCTGAGGCCATGATGATCTCCTTTTTCGCTTCCTCGTCCACATTCATCTTGCTCTATGTCAGCGCATGTTGATGATTCTTCTATATTAACTTGCGTCATCGAGGTGTCATCATCGTAGCGTAAGTTTATTAGATCCATGTCGTACAGTGGGATTTGTAATGATCCTGTTGGGATTGCAGGCACTTGGAGGAAAGATTCAGAGTAGATCTCAACACTTAAAAAACACAACAACAGTGTCGTTAAAATGGAAGGATTGTGTGGTAGTTTATTATATCCGTGTCGTACAGTGTGATTTGGTGTTGTTTAAAGAGATAGTTCACATTGAAATTAATTTTTGATATGTTTTATCTTACCTCAAGGGCATCCAAGATGTAGAGTCTTTGTTTCCACAGTATTTTAAATTTTGATATTTTTAGGTCAAACCGTTCTTGTCTGTCAGTCATATAATGGAAGTCTATGGTCACCACCTCAAAGAGCAGCACAGAGAAGTCCAGATTAAACATGATTTAATGACTCGTAAATGTAAGTACACATTGGTGGCCTAAGACACGAAACGAGCGGTTTGTGTGAGAAAACCAACAGTATTTATATATTTACTTCTCTGTGACTTCACTTGGAGGTGGTGACCATAGACCTGCATTATATAACTGAACGACAAGAACGGTTTGACCTAAAAATATAAAAATTGAAAATACTGTGGAAACAAAGACACCTACATCTTGGATGCCCTTGAGCTAAGCTAAAACACACCAAAAATGTATATCAAAGTGGACTATCCCTTTAAGGAGAGATTCCCTGGTATGATTTTTAAGCGCTTTGGGTTTACAGTATGAAAGCGCTACACAAATTCCTCATTCATTTGTATTGATCTTGTGGGATTGCCGAAGTCTGTAGCAGGGATTACGGAGATTTGGAGGAAGGAGATATAAACTCTTAAAACACACCACCAGAGTCTATTGGGATGTTGAAATGGTTGTCAGACTGGTGATCTGAACTAAGAGTGAAATGAATCCCCCACCCCGCTCTCGGGTGCATTTGTGTACCCATCAGTGTGTGGTAAGCTGCTCGAAGACCTACCGCTCTGCAATAGACTTGCAAATCACTCCTCCCTTCTGCCACGGCATTAGCATACAGATGTTGTTAAGAAAAGGAGAGAGTCGCCTCACAAAGGAGCCCTGATGTGAGAAATGCCCCTGCATTTCATTTACTGCCCGGCCTGGTCTCAATGAAAGGCTGCGGGACCTTTGGCTATTGTCCATGACCGTGTGTGACAGTGGGATGTTTCTTAGTCTCCCATGCACAAATGCAGGAACAATGAGCAAAGCAACACACAAAAGCCTTCATCTGTTCACTTGTCCTTTGTGAGTGTTTTCAGCTTGAATAATTAAAAGAGCTGTCAAGTATGCATTTTTCTTTCTTTCGAGGAGGCAGATGGGAAGGAGCAGCATTCAACATTCGGAGTTGTGTTTAAAATTAATTCACATGCAACTATACTTGTGTTATAAGCAAAGCTTCACCGGGGTTGACTATACACACTCTCAGAAAAAAAAAAGGTACAAAAGCTGTCACTGGGGCTGTAACTTTTCAAAAAGGTACACTTTTGTACCTAAAGGTTGCATATTGGTTCCTTGGCCCCTAAAATAAGCACCTAAATGTACATATTAGAACCTGAAATGAACAAATTAGTACCCAAAATGGAAATATTAGCACCTAAATGTACATATTAGAACCTGAAATGAACAAATTAGCACCCAAAATGTAAATATTAGCACCTAAATGTACATATTAGTACTTAAAATGTACATATTAGAACCTGAAATGAACAAATTAGTACCCAAAATGGAAATATAAGCACCTAAATGTACATATTAGAACCTGAAATGAACAAATTAGCACCCAAAATGGAAATATTAGCACCTAAATGTACATATTAGAACCTGAAATGAACAAATTAGCACCCAAAATGTAAATATTAGCACCTTAATGTACATATTAGAACCTGAAATGAACAAATTAGCACCCAAAATGTAAATATTAGCACCTAAATGTACATATTAGAACCTGAAATGAACAAATTAGCACCCAAAATGGAAATATTAGCACCTAAATGTACATATTAGAACCTGAAATGAACAAATTAGCACCCAAAATGTAAATATTAGCACCTTAATGTACATATTAGTACTTAAAATGTACATATTAGAACCTGAAATGAACAAATTAGTACCCAAAATGGAAATATAAGCACCTTAATGTACATATTAGTACTTAAAATGTACATATTAGAACCTGAAATGAACAAATTAGCACCCAAAATGTAAATATTAGCACCTAAATGTACATATTAGAACCTAAAATGGACAAAAGTTTACTTTTGGAAAAGGCACAGCCCCCTAGTGACAGCTTTCATTTATTTTTTTTCTAAAAGTGTAGAAGAAAAGCACCGCAAATGATCTTTTGTTCCCTCGAAAGTTTATTTCAAAACCATATATTATAATGAAAATGGGCATTACCATCCCATGGAATGTAAACAGTTCATTTAAATTATATATAAACAAACATGAAACGAAAGCACAACACAATATACTGTTTTCCCACTTGGAAAAAACGAAATAAATAAGTTTTAAGTTAACAAAAGGCAAAAGCGTGTCTTTTCACAAGGCAAAAGGATGAGAAACCACATCAATAATAATAATAATAAAACACAACCTACGGACATCAGAACTCGCTCACAGCTTTCGCCTCTTAAGTAAAAGATAAGAGTGCAAAAGATGGCACAACTTGACTTGGTACATTGTTATTTTCACATTCATGTTGGCTTGCATATTAACAGTTTTGACTGGTATTATTATTGAGAAGGACTGATACAGGACAGTGTATCGATGGCACTTTAAAATGATCCTGAGATTCCAACAGTAAGACGCGGTCTTCGTTAAAGCTAAGAGATAGCTCGTGCAAAGCAGACTCAAAAGAAACAAACACAAAAGCCTCATCTACATTGTTCCTCCTTCGAAATGCATGCAAAACACGATGCATAATACAAAACAAGGCAATAAATAGTTTTTTTCGTTTTCTTTTTTTCAAAGAACTAGGTCAAACTACTCAGTCCATGTAAAAACGCCTTAACTAAAGGCTACAGTATGTAAGTTCAGGGAGCGGGTTAGACGTTACACTAGATGTATATACTCTAAGTTGCTCGGCTTTGGTTAGACTAAGGGAAAGTTCATCCTACAGACAAAACACTGCAGGACAATTCCCGATACAAATAAACCTAAAGTGAAGTTCCCACTGGGTATACAACAGTATACATTGCCTATCACTTTTACGAATCAAGCGCAGGTCTAGTCGTCTGAGACGGACAGACGGCTGAAGATGGGCAGGCGCTTGCCCTCGACCCCGGGAGAGTCGCAGTCGCTCAGACTGCTGGAGCTGGTGTAGTCGTCCTGGTCCGAGAGCGAGTCCGCCGAAGCGCTCCTCTGCAGGGCCGACGTGAGCGCGTACGCCAGGTTTCGCACGCTCTCCGAGTCGCTGATGGCGTAGAAGCTCCCGTTCGCTCCCAGGTCCGTGAACGGGTGGCCGTGCTTTAGGGTCCCGGGCTCGGGGAACAGAGGAGAGAGCAGGTCGGGACTGCCCGTGGACGGAGGCGGGGATACGGACGAGGATCGGGAGAAGGCCAAGGCGTCCGGGACGGCGTGGAAACCGCGTTGCGAGGAGAAGCCGCTGAAGCTAACGCTCTGGCGGAGCAGCTGCGGTCGCTCTCGGATGCTCTTCTCTGCGCTCTCGGAGACGCCTTGCTGCTCGTCCGCGTTGTGTATGAAGTGGCAGCGGGCGCCGTAGGGGCAGAAGCCGATGGTGTGGAAGGTGCGGCACGGCTCCGTCTTGTACTTGGGATGCCGGTTGAGGCCTCGCAGCTCGTCCATGCCGTGCGCGAACTGGCATTTGGAGCCGTACTTGCAGGTGCCGCTCTCCTCGTACGTCCGGCACAGCTCCGTCTTGTAGCGAGTGGACATGGCCGCGGACTTGGGCGAGGACAGCGAGCTGTTGCTGATGCTCAGGCCGGGCGGTGGAGGAAGGGAGCAAGCCGTCGGGCTCTCGCAAGCGCTCACGTGACCCTCGATCATGCTCACGGACCGGTCCACCCTGAAGGGGATCTGGCTCAGAGAGGAGCGAGGCAGCTGGGGCTTCTGCTCGCGGATCCAGGGCTGGTTGATGGCCGGCAAAGGCCACGGGGTGCTCTCGTTGCTGTTGAATTTGGAGTTGGGGAGAGTCACCGGGCACAGGGAGTGTCTGCGCTGGAATCCCACCACACGCCGTTTCTGTGTGGCATCTGTAAGGTCAATACCTCGGAAACTCTGGGAACACACAGAGAGAGAGAGAGAGTTCAGTGTACTTGTTGTGCACAAGTCTCAGAAGTGAATGCATGAGGAAACACACATCATTGAAGGGTACACTCTAAAAATGCTGGGTTGTTTTAACCCAACTTTGGGTCAAATATGGACAAACCCAAACGTTGGGTTAAAAAAATGTAACTCAATGGCTGGGTTTGTCCATATTTAACCCAAAGTTGGGTTAAAACAACCCAGCATTTTTTAGAGTGTACGTTCACACAAAGAGAGTCCCGGATTACATGCATGCATTGCATGTAGAAAGTTTTTTTTTTTTTTTTTTTCAATAGAAGAAAGAAAGTCACCCTGGTTGGAAACAACATTGGGTAATGCTTCCTTTTACAGTGTCCTTATTGCACTCTAAAACTGCTGGGTGGTTTTAACCCAAATATTGACCAACCCAAATGTTGGGTTAAAATTGTGATTAAGAAATTTAACCCAATGGCTGGGTTTGTCCATATATGACCCAAAGTTGGGTTACAACCCAGCATTTTAATTACACTCAAAACAATGCTGGGTTGTTTGAACCCAAATGTTGGGTTAAAAATGTAATTTCAAATTTTAACCCAATTTCAACTTTAGATTTTTTTTATTGCATTTTTAACCCATCATTTGGGTTTGTCCATATTTGACCCAAATTTGGGTCGAAACAACCCAGCATTTTTTAGAGCATGCAAATCACCCACAACCAAATCCTACCATAACCCTATAGTAAGTACATGTAGTTGCTTAATATTACTAAGACCTTACACTCTAAAAAATGCTAAGTTGTTTTAACCCAATTTTGGGTAAGTAACTCAAATTAAGAAAATTAATTTGAAAAAAAAAATAACCCAATGGCTGGGTTTGTCTATATTTGACCCAAAATTGGGTTAAAACAACCCACCATTTAGAGTGTAGATGTATAATTACACTGCAACAATGACGCCTTAACATAGTAACTGATTTGAGTGCTGTTTAAATGCTTAACTTTTACGTTCAAGAAACAAAGTTCATATTCTTACCTTGCAAAATTCATCATCCAACTCGAGGAAGGGTGTGAGGAAATTTGAGGGCATTTTCGAGATGCCTGGTTGTGATTCTTTATGTGCAGTTAAGGATCCGTTGAACTGCTCAACAACTTCTGCTTCGGTTACAACCACCACACTGTGGGAATCTCATTTTATAAGCAGAAACTTCTAACCCCGCCCACTTTCTGAAGAGGCGTGTCTTAGAGTTGGGCTCACACCCCTTCAAGAGTGAGGGAAATGTGCTTGTGTCCTGTGGAGGGCTTCACAAAAGAGCAAACTTTAGTGCATCTCAGACGAGGTGTAAATTATTTTACAAATGGCTGGATCTACATGAAAAAACGTTTAGTTTACTTCTGAAATAGCTCTAAAATTGGTAGCTAAATTCAACCTTTTTTACAGGTTAAACTTTTTTTTATTTTTTTATTTCAGTTAGTGGCCATTTTCATTTTAACTTGATGAACTAAAATTACTAAGAATTAGTAAATCTAATAAAAAGGTCAAAACAACTAAACTCAGAAAACTTTTAACTTACTTAAAAACCAGTGTATCAATGAGATTAAAATAATACTGGCTCTCTGAGCATATTAAAAGTTGTTTTTCAACCATTCAGAGCTATTGTTTTGAGAAAATAGCTTTATCACTCAAACCTTTGAGCCTTTATCTTACAATTCGCTGAACAATCCTTGAACGTTTGTGTCAATATTTGAACTAAAATCTCCCAGAATAGTTGACATTGGGTGTCTGCAACACTGAAATGAATATCCGCATCTGTCCTCTATATGTCGTATTCAGCTGTAAATGACTCCTAACCTGAGGCCATTTTCACTAGCGTCATTATGTCATTGCGTGACACCTCATCATACTTGATGGGGCAAATCAAGTGGGCAATCGTAGCCCGAAATCGCCCTCACAGGGGTGGGAGTCTCTGGGAAACCCTCGAGGGGAATGAAAACAAGGCAGTGTCATAATTAATTACAGAGATCCAAGACCGTTCCGCTGCATTAAACCGATTAGTCATCTGTACATAATAATCCATTATCACTAATTTTGCGTCAATGATTTCCAGCAGCAAGGTTTAGTCTGAGGATTACACAGCGGTTTGTTGAGAACCAGACTGGTGTGTTTCTGAGCAGGTTGTTTGACCTCGTTTGACCTGCAATCCAAGTAAATGTGTCTTAATCATGCATAAAAGAAGGCATTTAGACATTTAATGCTAGGTTGTTTCAACCCACATTTGGGTCAAATATGGACAAACCCAAATGTCGGGTTAAAAATGTCATTAAAAAATGTACCGTTGAAAGTGAAAGTTGAAGTTGGGTTAACATTTTAAATTATATTTTTAACCCGACATTTGGGTTTGTCCATATTTGACCCAAATGTTGGGCTAAAAATGTCATTTAAAATCATAACCCAACTTCAATGCAGTTGAAAGTGAAAGGTTAACATTTTAAATGACATTTTAACCCAACATTTGGGTTTGTCCATATTTGACTCAAATGTTGGGTTAAAAATGTCATTTAAAATCATAACCCAACTTAAATGCTGTTGAAAGTGAAAGGTTAACATTTTTAATGACATTTTAACCCAACATTTGGGTTTGTCCATATTTGACCCAAATGTTGGGCTAAAAATGTCATTTAAAATCATAACCCAACTTCAATGCAGTTGAAAGTGAAAGGTTAACATTTTTAATGACATTTTAACCCAACATTTCGGTTTGTCCATATTTGACCCAAATGTTGGGCTAAAAATGTCATTTAAAATCATAACCCAACTTAAATGCTGTTGAAAGTGAAAGGTTAACATTTTAAATGACATTTTAACCTAACATTTGGGTTTGTCCATATTTGACCCAAATGTTGGGCTAAAAATGTCATTTAAAATCATAACCCAACTTAAATGCTGTTGAAAGTGAAAGGTTAACATTTTACATGACATTTTTAACCCAACATTTGGGTTTGTCCATATTTGACTCAAATGTTGGGTTAAAAATGTCATTTAAAATCATAACCCAACTTCAATGCAGTTGAAAGTGAAAGGTTAACATTTTTAATGACATTTTAACCCAACATTTCGGTTTGTCCATATTTGACTCAAATGTTGGGTTAAAAATGTCATTTAAAATCATAACCCAACTTCAATGCAGTTGAAAGTGAAAGGTTAACATTTTACATGACATTTTTAACCCAACATTTGGATTTGTCCATATTTGACCCAAATGTTGGGCTAAAAATGTTATTTAAAATCATAACCCAACTTCAATGCAGTTGAAAGTGAAAGGTTAACATTTTAAATGACATTTTAACCCAACATTTGGGTTTGTCCACATTTGACCCAAATGTTGGGTTAAAAATGTCATTTAAACTCATAATCCATCAACGCAGTTGAAAGTGAAAGGTTAACATTTTACATGACATTTTTAACCCAACATTTGGGTTTGTCCATATTTGACCCAAATTTGGGTTGAAACAACCCCAGCATATTTTAGAGGGCATACAATGAAAGTTTGTATGCAAAACAAATGTGTATATATATGTATGTAATTTACTTTTCCTGTTGTGGACCCCATTAACTTTCATTGTAAGGTTTTGATAACGTCTTCTTTGGACAGATATGGTTGAAATCTGTTATGCATGAACATTTACATGTGCAATGTTTCTAGTTTGACATTTCAGGTAGTTTTATTATTCTTTGCAGTTTCATTGGACAATGAAAAGAAAGCACGAGCATTTCTCACCACATCAACTCTCGTGAAACAAGACACTTCACTTATTAGGATGGTCAAAAGACAGCACTGTCCCTTTAACACACAATGAAGTCTTATCACAGAGTGGAGCGTCAACACCTCACACAATCCTGCGATGAGCACTTGTTCTTTGGCGACTGATAAAGACAGCAATGGGCATGGAGATGCACAACTGCTTGTATTTGTTTCCAACAAAGTGCAAGTGAGTCAGATTAAAGCCTATTGTCTTTGTACAAAATACTACAGTAGGCTTTGAAAGCACTGTTTTAGATATCAGACACGAATGCAACACATTCTCTTGTGTCTTTTATTCTGAACTCAAACTCTCAGTGTGTGTGTGCCGATTTAATTGCAGGTATTGTGCACAGCCGGCCTGAATAACTTCTTTTGAGGCTCGTGTCAAAAGGCAAAATAGGGAAGATGGAGGAGATTGCACAACGATGTGCTTTTGGCTAGAAAAGAAGCTTAGAAAAGGACAATAACTCCACATAAAGGGCTTCGGGGACTGCTGTTGTGCTCCTCGGTGAGGGTCCGAATAGAGATCATGCACATCTGCAGACTACGCATATATATATATATATATATATATATATATATATATATATATATATAAAACAGCACAACTTTTTTCAACACTGATAACAAGCATAAATGTTTCTTGAGCATCAGATCATCATATTAGAGTGATTTCTTGAGGATCATGTGACACTGAAGACTGGAGTAAATTCAGCTTTGATCACAGGATATAAATTACATGTTAGTTTTTATTCACATAGAAACCAGCTATTTTAAATTGTAATAATATTTCACAATTTTACTGATTTTACTGTATTTTTATCCCATAAATGCCACCTTGTAGAGAAGAAGAGACCTTTTTAAAAACGCACCGACCCCAAACTTTTCAACAGTTGTGTATAATTATTATTATTATTATTATTTTTTTGGGCTGGGCAATGATTAATCACGATTAATCGCATCCAAAATAAAAGTTTGTGTTTACATAATATATGTGTGCGTAGTGTGAATTATTTTGTATATAAATACACACACATGCATGTTTATATTTAAGAAAAATGTGTTCTTAATATATCACATATTTATATTTATACATAACATTAATTATGAATGAATATAAAAAATGCACTGTAAAAAATATTTTCAAGATTTTTTTATCACAACATACTTTCTTTTGTCAAATCAACTTTATAATAATTTATTTAGTGCAGATAACATATAATTTTGAGTTTCTGATGGTTAAATTAATCTCCTTCATTGTATTAACTCACTTTTTCCAGTTCAATGAACTTAAAATTTTAAGGCAACCAGGTTACTTACTTTTTTAAGTTAAACCAACAATATTTTTTACAGTGTATAGGCTGGTTCAACCTAAATTTGGGTCAAATATGGACATACCCAAATGTTGGGTTAAAAATGTAATTTAAAATCTTAACCCAACTTCAACTTTCACTTTCAACGGTACATTTTTTAATTAAATTTTAACCCAACATTTGGGTTTGTCCATATTTGACCCAAATTTGGGTTGAATCAACCCTTCATTTTTTAGAGTGTATACATGCAAATATTTCTTAAATATATACATGCATGTGTTACGTGAACACAAACTTTTATTTTGGTTGCCCAGCCCTATTTTTTTATTAGTTCACTCTAAAAAGGGGGTTGTTTTAACCCAATTTTGGGTCAAATATGGACAAACTCAAACATTGGGTTAAAATGTAATTTAAAAATGATGGGTTTGTCCATATTTGACCCAAAATTGGGTTAAAACAACCCAGCATTTTTTAGAGAGTATATAGGCAAAACTGTGAATTAATCCGTGGCACTAAATGTGAGCTGAGTGAATTAACGAAGGCGTTTGTGAAACTGACCCCAGACAGAGGGGTAAAATCTGCTCGTTTTTTGATCTCAGACAGGAAGGAATGTGAAAGTTGCTGGTCTACTTATAGACGTCTTACATAACATAGAAAAACAAGTGGGTTATCAGCAGCCGTTAGGAGGTTAAACTGTAGCTGTGAGGTTTTGACCATCTCTCTCTCTCTCTCTCTCTCTCTCTCTCTCTCTCTGCTTTAATCAACTGAGTCCCTTTAACAGTAAATGATTGTGAAGACAAACGCACCAAGTCACGATGATGATTCTGGATGAGAACAGATAATGGCACACTCGAAATGTGGTTCTGAAATAACATGTTTTAGGAGGCCCGTCGTGTCAACATGAGCTCCTCATAAACGCCATTAGATGATCATTTAGATGTTCAGTGAGTTTAGGCTATACTGAGAGACGAGGGCTATGTGTCTCGAAGTCGGGTTATTTACATGTTCTGCAGCTGGCGACTACAAGTTATTGTTCATTGAACACT